CCTTTGTAAATTTGTACTTTGTAATTGTTATGTTATGTTTGAAATCCCATTTCACAAGTTTGACAATCAATTTACTAATATCTACTTTTTTAATTTGTATAATATTTATTGGTGCGATATATATAGTAAGGGTATGTTTGAGAGATGGAAAGTAAAGAAGAGTAGAAAAGAGAAAAAAAGTGTGTGAAAATTAAAAAAAAAATGAGTGTTTTTTGATAAAGGAGAATTGACACGAAGTGTGAGAAAGTTAATGAGTTAAAAATAAAAATTATAATAATACTTAAATATATTTTTAGTCTCTCAAATTTAAGATAATTTTTTTTACTCTCAATAATTTTTAAAAATCTTATTATAATCCCTCATATCAACTATAACATGTTTGAAAACATGTTTGAAAGTGATAGATTAAAACAGTTATACAATGTTAGCCAAATTTAATGTGATATTTTTACTAATAAGAACATTAGTAAGTAAATTTTATATGATAATATTTGATAAATTTTTAATTTTTTTTTAAATATAATGACCAAAATAAGAACTTTTCAAATTGTACGGATTAATAAAATCAATTTTAAACTTGAGAGTCCAAAAAAATTACTTTAAATTCAAGAAATTAAATTATATTTATGTCTTATAATATTATTATTAATATATTTAAAATAAAGAGGGTGATTATGTCATATATATATACAGTGACGGATCCAGAAATTTTAAGTAGTGGGGGCAATATTAGCCAGAACGGGCCGTTCCAAAACGGCAACCACATACCTACATTCAACAAAATTTTGCAATGTAATTCAAAAATTGAAAATAAAAATTCATAACATATCATAATTTTAAAACAGAAATATGGTTCAGAGACTAAAAAAAAAATTCATAACATAACATAACATATACTAAAAAAGTTCAAAGAAATTACTGAGAAGGAAAATCATCTGGATAACGCTGAAGGTGTCAATAATACATCTTATCCATCATATAACACTGAATGGATGATAGGATATCAACATTATCTACCTGTACATGTGGTTGTGTGGTGAAATGTTTGTCCTGTGTATCCTTTTCCTTTACTTCAGGTTGTACCTCCTCAAGAACAGGTTGTTGTTGTTGGGGTGCATCGGTCAATGACTTCCAGGGAAAACACCATGTCGTTTCATCCTTGACTGTATAGTGTCAATTTGGTAGTAAGTGGTTCACTTCAGTTTGACTAACAATGAAATAAAACTTACTACCATTGTCCTTAGTGATACACTGCATTGTCCTTAATGATACACTGTATAGCCCAAATGTTTAACAATTGAAGGTATCAATCCCTATTGACAATATTACCAAATCCAGTGTTTGAAATGCTTTTTCCTTGCATGATTCACAATCGTGAACTATAATCATCGACCGTTTGTGTTTGGCATCCTGAACCAGAACGACTTGTTCTGGTTGCACTTTTTGTGTGTTAATTGTGGACCTGGAACGGCTCGTTCCAGGTGCAAAATTAACACAATAAGAGTGCAACCAGAATGGGCCGTTTTGGTTCCAGATGCATTAAAAAAATTTGTCATCCACCTATGCATCCACGTGACATCCACGTGCCCAACAGTTAACCCCGTTTAAATTATTTGGATAGAAGTCCGACATTGTAACAATTTAATTTATTAGGGACCAAATTGAGACTAAAAATTAAAGTGGGACTAAATTGAAACAAATAATTATAATAAGAGACTAAATTAGGTTTTTAGCCATTTTAAAATTATTAAATTAAATTTTAAAATAAATATAGTAAATATAAATTGAAATAGATAGTTGTTATGTGAATATGCAAATGTTCCGATGGATCGGACAATCATCATTCTCCGACACTAGAATGGGGTGGGACTCAATAAGACGAGTATATTGAAGGTTAAAGTGATACTTGGTCCCTTTCACACAAGAGGGTGAATCCTGTCATGAAGCATAGTATTTATAATAACATTAATAAAAAGATATCTTAATTTGGTGTCTATTTTTAAATATTTTTAACTGATTATAGTCAAATTTATAATTATATATTTTCAAATAACATTTCTTTTTCTTTTTGAGTAAAGTTTTTGTTTATTTTTAGTAATTGCACATATATTGAGGGTCCCTAAATCATCTCAATGAATCAAGTCAATCTGGTCGGTCGTGTCGGTCTATTTGGCCGAAGGGATCAGAACACTCGACAACCTCGAGCCCTAAACCACATGATTAAAACGAGGTTAATTTTCCTAATGTACCGGTTTAGTCCCCTAATTTTCTGAGGCCCATTTTCCTAATCACAACCCAATTACGACTAGTATAAATATAGCGTTAGTGAGGTGTGAATTTGAACTCAACTACCACATTTAATACGTTGATCCCTTATTGACTTGAGTGTTAGAGTGTCTTTTATAGGCATCCCCCACCTTGGACTGCGTAGAGCAAAGCGTGAAGACCTCGACCGGAAGTTGAGATCGAGATAATTAATTGATTAACAAGGTGTCTCCTAATACAGGAACATTTGGTGCCCACTGTGGGGCCAAAAAGACTTTTTCAGCCCCTTTAAAACTCCACCAACTGATGCTAAGACATAGTAGCTACACGCAAAGGATCTTCAACATTGGCCCAACCACCCTTGAATACCGAACACCATCTCAACATACCTGGACAAGAGCGATACCCTTACAGAATGCCTCAGATGCAACAGGAACCCATGGAACAGAAGGGATGAGTAAACATTAAGAACCTGTCAAACTGCAATGATGACCTACGACTGCTACATGAAGAGATGGCCACTATACGCAAGCAACAAGAGACCTACATTCAACAAAATTTTGCAATGTAATTCAAAAATTGAAAATAAAAATTCATAACATATCATAATTTTAAAACAGAAATATGGTTCAGAGACTAAAAAAAAAATTCATAACATAACATAACATATTTAATTCAAACGAAGCAATATAAAAATAATAACTTTAAATACACTAACCTCAAAGACCACTTTAAATGTATAGTTTAGCTGTTCAAACAAGAAGGAGTATAGATGGAAGAAGAAATTTATTTTTTTTCTTCCAATTTGACTCTTCTACACTTTAAAATATGTTAAAGGTAGAAGAGAATCTCAAAATATAAAAAGAATTAGAAAAAATAAAAATAAAACAAAAAAAATATAAAATATCTAAAAATATGTTAATAACAACTTATAATTTTTTTAAAACTTAAAACACATATATTATTTAATTTATAATTTTTTTAATCTTGATTTACAATTTAAATGCATAACATTTTTTTTTAAAATATGTAATTTGTTGTTAATTATTATAACATTAAAATATTTAAAAAAAAAATCCTTTCTCATATAAAGATAATTGCAACAAAACTTAAATTCAGTTTTAATTTTATAATTTTTTTAGTTTTTAGTTTTTATTTTTTTGTTTTTAGATTTTAAATGAAGATAATATAATATTATATATTATTAGTAAAAACTGAAAAGTTAGTGGGGCACAAATTAGTGCATCTGTTCCTGCAACAAATTCAGTTTTAATTTTATAATTTTTTAGTTTTTATTTATTTTTTTTTGTTTTTAAATTTTAAATAAATATAATATAATATTTTATATATTATTAAAAAACAAATTGAAAAGTTAGTGGGAACAACTGCTCCCACAACGTTTAACGTGCGTCCGTCTCTGTATATATTATATAATAACATAAAATTAATAACAATAAATAAATATAATAATTAAAAACAATTTTCATTTATATTTAAAACTAAATTTAATTATGAATGTTATATTTATTTATTTATTTAAAATAATATAACTATAATAAATAAGTCTTCACCTACCTGGATTCAACATTCAAGGCTTCAACCCTCAGTTCACACAGTACAAACTTGTCTTTTTGTGTTTAATAATGACCAGCTCTTCCTTTATCATCACATCATTCCTATGCAGATATTTAGCCCACTTATTCACACATCATTTTCTATCACCTAATTAAATACATGTATATCTATGAATACCACTCTATAAAAAGATCATAAAAAATGTGACTTTCTAACACGAACCAACTATTCACATTTCAACCACAACCCTACTGCTAAATAACAACAGTTTTTGACAAATCCAAGCTTAGTTACCTTTTTTAGACTTGGGGAAATATCGTTTGACTACCAACAACCAAAAAAACATTTTCACTACGTTTTACAGTTAAATCGTACCTCGCAAGTTTGCAACGAAATTTCCGCGCGCAATAGTTATTGAGCGAATCATGTTAATGTAAAGTTTTTTATATAAGTAATTAATCATATTTTTTAAATTATTTTATTTTATTTTTATTTTATTAAATAAGTAAATAATATGATTCTATTAAAAAATATGATTGGTTACCAATATAAAAAATTTTACATTAAAATTAAATCATAATTATATTAGTGTCATTCCTTGTAAATAAAGTTCTTATTTATTGTTATTCACCTAAAATATCTTGTATTAATTGTCTATCATGTTGGACCAGCATTGACTCATGTACAATACACATGTTGCCTATAAAAAATAAACTTCTTTTAACTATGACATGCTATATTATAATAATTATATCATGATCAAACTTTTGATTTATTGGTTATGCATCGAATACCTTGGTTCATTTACACATGAAATAACAAATAAAAATATTTAAAGACAATAAAATTAAAGAATTTTTATAATTTTTTTTTACAATTTTAACCCGGTAATAAAATATTAACTTTATATTTCTTTAAATATGTAAGAAGGTAATTAACAATGTTGATACTTGAGAAAAAGTAAGTTTGTGTTTAGTGGTTAAAAAACATATAGTGGCTCCAGCTTGTAAGGTGAGTCTGATATGGATATTGAATAATAATGTATAAGTAAATTAAAAAGGTGTGAAAAGCAAGGCATATGGCAATCTAAAATAAAGTTGCTTATGCTTTATATTATATCTCTTGGTCTTGGTCGTGGTCTACAAGTTGTTTAATAAAAGCACGTTAACATAACCTTAACCTTAATCACAACCTCAATCAATTCAGAACCAGAACTTTAACTAAACGCTAACTGTGTGTTTCTTTCAGTTTTCTGCTTTTGCAATTTCCTTTCCCCGATCCACTCTTCGCTCGTGCGTTCTGGAACGCAACGCAGCGAATCTAGCAGCTTCTCCGCTTTCAAAAATGCTCTCTGTCTGATTCTACTTCTAGCTTTTTATTCCTCGGATTCGATACCATGACACCTGGTAAACGTGTCTTTACTTTTTACTAAGGATACTGTTGTGTCTTGTTTTGTATAAAAGAAATTGAAAATTTGGGATATGTTTTGGTGCGGTGTACAGTGAAGTGAATTGAGTTTGACTTGGTTTGATTGGGTAGTTGAAATGAACCACATCACTTGTGGCCTTGTGTGTGTGCATTTTGTTTAGTTTTCTGAGTTTGGAGCTTTCAATTGGGACCATGTGCGTTTTGGAATCGCTTTGGACTTTGATTTACTTTACATGCCTTTTGGATTTCTAGTATATTCTCTGTAACATGCTTTTTGCTATTTGATTTGATTTACTCTGTTATTGTTCTGCTTCCAAATGATATGGAATATTGGAATAATTGATTGGTGCTGTGTAGAGAACGAAAAATTTAGGTTGTTGGTTACATTGTGCAGTTCTCATTAATGCATAAAAGGGATTTGTTGTTTTCTGCAACTTTACCCGTCTTAACTAATTATTCTGATATTAGAAGGTAGAAAAGAAAACAATTATGGTGGTGGTGGGAAGGGTTTTATATTATTTGACTTATTTATCGTTTGGTTTCAGGTCACGAATATGATATTAATGATTTGCATCAAGAGGCTCAAGCCAGATGGCTGAAGCCTGCAGAAGTGATGTACATTTTACAGAATCATGAGAAGTACCAGTTCGCCCAAGAGCCCCCGCAACAGCCAACCAGTAACATTCGTGTTCCCTTTATCCAATTTATGATGATAAAAAAATATGACAATTTTTCCCTTCATAAAATGCTGATTGTAAACATTATCAATTGATCTTCTTAACAGGTGGATCCCTGTTTCTGTTTAACAAAAGAGTCCTGCGTTTCTTCCGCAAAGATGGCCATAACTGGCGCAAGAAAAGAGATGGAAGAACTGTGGGAGAAGCACATGAACGGCTGAAGGTGCATTACTAGTTTCTATGCTGTTGTGTTTGTTAGTTGTCTGTGAAAAAGCAAAACTTGTTGGCAAGTGTCTTGGGGGGTCTCAGTTGTAGAAATGCAGTCCATAAATGTGTATGTAAGAGGGGACAAATTGTTGGCTCTCCTGTATTGTTTGGAAAAAATTTATTCAGAAAGTTGATAGATGTCTCAAAATGGTAGGGGTGATAGATGGTATTATTCAAAAATATTTAAAAATCCTTTCTAGAAGTTTCATTTTCAATTGTATTTCCTAGTTCAATTCCGTTCTTCCAAGATATAACTGATTGGTCTGTCAGTTACCCTTTATGTTCATTAGATATAACTGATTTCTGTTCATTAGCATGTTTCTAAAACATTATTCACTTATTGTTGCTATATTTATGAGTTTAGCCCAACTGTTTTTGTAATGGTATTCCATATACTGATTTTCAATCTGAATAATCGTACTAATCTGCATGACCAGGTTGGAAATGTTGAAGCCTTAAATTGTTATTATGCACACGGAGAACAGATCCCTAGTTTCCAGAGGCGGAGCTATTGGATGTTGGATCCGTGAGTAAACGTTAACTTATTAGCTAACTGCATATCCCTCAAACTGTTAAGCTTATCAACACATGTTGTATCCTTTAAAACAAACGTGCAATTTTTGGGAAAAAGTCATCCAAGAGGTATCTAAATATCAAATGAAATTACAAGATTTCCTGGACTTTGAAACACAATCAGCCTTCAATGAACAAAACTATTCATGAGATATGCAGTATGATATATGTTATCATAGCAGTTATTCATAATCACTCATGCTATTTCTTCATGACAGGGCGTATGAGCATATTGTTCTTGTGCATTATAGAGACACAAGCGAGGTGAGTCTTGGATACATATCAGACAAACATAATAATAGTACTTGTAGCTTGTGTATAGTGTCCCTCTAGGAAAATTGGGGAAGGAGAGTCTTTTTGTGCAAGATTGCTCACTGTTCTAACCTGATTCTGATTAGTTGTTTTACACACTTCCCCCCTTTTCACTGTTCACATGTGAAACTCAAATGATTTAGTTCCTTTTTCAGTTTTATGAAATTTCATTCATATTTAATTTTTTGTAGAAGACTCCTCCAATCCATGAACTGTTTACATTTCTTCTTTTAAATTTGATACGTTGAGTAGTCTTTTATTCACCATTATTAATACTACCATGCTGTAAATCTCTTTCTCACACCTCCTCCCACCCCCACTTTCATTTTGTATTTTAAAACTTTCATCAGTAATTACTGTGCGAAAGAATTCAACTATGAATTAAAGTCATTCCCCACGCATTTTCTTAACTTCTTGGAATTTATTCTATTACCTACCTTTAATGAACTTCTTTTTCTGATTTGCTACCAACCAGAACTTTACCTACATTACACATATACGTCTCATCTCCCATGTCCTAATTTTAAACCAGATGCACCTTGGATAACCATAGCTTTGGTATTTAATTCTCTAAGATGATATAAGAAAAAACAGTGATTATTCCTAAGATTTGCAATGTCCTGTTACTTTTCTGCACTAATTATTTTATTTTCCAATGGCTTCATGCCTCTAATGACGATATACATAAATCTTCTTGTGAATTATATTTGATATCTTGGATGGAATTTGTTTAATCTTATTTTGTTATTAATCATGTGCATAGCAACATTGTTATGCAGCTCATCTTTGGATTCTGCTTTACTGTTTGCACTCACATGTTATAGGGAAGGCTCGGTTCCGGCGCTGGTGCACAATTCTCACCAGGTTCTTCTTCTGCATATAATCAAAGTCCTAGCCCTTATTCTACTCAGAATCCAGGGTCAACATCGATATTTGGTGATTCATATGAACCTAATCAGAGTTTATCCAGTTCTGGATCTGCAGAAGTTACCTCTGATGTATACATTCCGAACAATAAAATGGGTCACATGGATGGAACAGATGCAGACTCAGGAGCCTCAACTGAACTTGAGGTTACTCAAGCTTTGCGCCGATTGGAGGAGCAGTTAAGTTTGAATGAGGACAACTTTAAAGAAATTGCTCCCTTCTGCATTAATGATGAAACTGGACATGATTCAAACCCTCAGCACAATCAAGGGATGATCAGAAATCAAGAGCAATCTGCTACTTTCCCTGGACCAGATGATCAAGGGTTATTTTATGATGGATATAATGGAAGGCAAGGTAAATTAAACAAACATGAGATGTTGAGAACACGTTATAAACCAGTGAAATATCTGAGTGCCTATTCTATATTGTGTTGTAACCTGGTCATATACTGATATCTGTCTTCTACTTTTCTAACCGTGCTTGTGGCATACTACACCTGCACAGCCAGTTTTCTGTTATTTGTTGACTTAAATTTATAGCATGCCTGTTTAGATTAAGTTGTTGTCAGCAACATAGTCATGGATCTTCTTGTTTGGTGTATCTGTTTATTTTTTTCTCTGTGAAACCTAATTCACCAATTGTTGTGTGCTGGTTGTCTTGTGTGAATCTTAAGACAATGTAGGATTCTTATCATGAGCCAAGTAACCAGAAGAATAAAATGGTTCAAAACCACTTCCCCATGGCCAGGTTTCTTCGTATTTGACATTACTCCAGTAGATTTTGTAAAAATCTTTAAAAATGTGGAATGTCCTCTGAAGGTTTGATTGGAACATTCCATATGTTATGTAACATGAAAAATGTTTTTCTTATTTTATGGTTGGCAAATAAAACAAATGTTCTAGTCTTGATACATTGCACGTGGCTGACGAGTCATACAAACACAAGGTTAGCACTTGACTTAACCTTTAATGATAACCAACAAATTTGAAGTTCGAGAGAAAAGTTTGTCATATTATTTTAAATGATGCCATGAAGAACATAACACAACATACTTACAAGGTGGGGATGGGCAACATGAATGGCACTCCAAATTAAACAAGGGAAATACCAAATTTAAGGAAAAATTCAAGGGAAATACTAAAACGTTGTTAAACAATGGATTTTGTGCGCAGAAGTGTAAATCCTGGTTGCAATGACAAGCTCAAAGGGAGCTTTCTGTTGGTATCATATGGGCCCTGTTACTGCATCTATATCAAAAGTTATGGTTGTTTAAATTCCACTTGCCTATTTAGGATCTACGTGCCATACATTTGGGTTTCTTACACACTGCCTGCTCTAAGGACTCTTTTGTTACATTTGGGACCAAAGGTTTGTGCGTGAAATTATTGTGGTTCTGGCTCTGCTTGAAGTTTTTCCTAGTAATTAGTTATTCATCTGTCCAAAACCTTTTTGCTTAACTTTTGTATTTTGAATTTCAAGTGATATTCATATCTTTGTAATTTGTTTTGTCCTCTTGTGGAAACATTGACCGGCAAGAGAGGAAGGTAAAAGATGCTAAAAGTGGTGTTTATTCTTATAGGCGATGGGGGTGAATGTTATCATGAATTAATAGACAATGGGTACCGTGATGCTAATGAAAAGGCTATCTGGACAGGGGTGCTGGAATCATGCAAGTCCTCATCTGCAGTCAAGTTACCACAGAAAAATGTATACATGCCAACTGGAAATGTAAGTTTTGCGTGGACATATTTCATAAATTTTTTATCATTTTGTAAATTATATTTGCTCCAATGTCAAAATAATTTTCTTCACGTGTTTCTGCAATTCTTAAAATTTTGGATAATTTAAGCAGGAAAATTCTCTATCTTCTTCAAGAACGGTACCAGTTTCCAACCAGGAAAACAGTCACTGGCTAAACTTCAACAGTAATAATGCTGAAAACTGTATGATTTACTTTCACCTGGCTATCTTAACTATAATTTGGCATATTTTGGAGTTTATTTGACTTTTGATTCCCCTCCCATGTTAGCAGCTGTTTTCTCGATACCTCAAGGTGTTGATGGAGTCAAATTTCCTACATATTCTATTGTGGAAACGCGAGGAATTAATTCTAACTACTATGAAACATTTTTTCACCAAAACCAAATTGTAACACCTCCAGATGCAGATTCAAGTTTGACAGTAGCACAAAAACAGAAATTTACCATTAAGAAGATCTCCCCAGAATGGGGTTATGCCACCGAGAATACTAAGGTTTGTGCCTTTAAAGTTTAACTCTTTGAATGCCCTATGCAATGATTTATGACTCTTCACATTGGTGGTATCTTCTAATTCTAAACAAGAAAATTGGTCATTCTTTTGATTAATAACTATTGGGGCTTACATCTTACCTATTTTCGTGAATAGCTTTAGAATTTATACTTAACTTTGTTGAAATATATATAAAATTCTTGTGGTAGTGGTTGTCTAAAGCAATTATATATAAAGCCCGGTCTATTTATAACTAACTAGGTTAGGGAAATATTGTTCAATCTCGTGGCTTTAGATGTTCAAGACTTAACTAGTTGGGGGCTTGGGGCATATATCTAGTCTCTCTGTCTCTTTTTTTTCCTTTCAAGTTTTCAACTTTCTTATCTTAAAATGATATTTAGTGTTGATTCTGTCCAAATTTGATTCCTAAAGCTTCATATTCCTTGCTTAGGTTATCATTGTTGGGTCATTTTTCTGTAATCCCTCGGAGTCTTCTTGGGCTTGTATGCTTGGCGATATTGAAGTTCCTGTTGAGATAATTCAGGATGGTGTAATCTGTTGTGAAGCTCCATCTCACCTTCCCGGAAAGGTTACTCTGTGCATTACTTCTGGAAACCGGGAGTCCTGTAGTGAAGTCAGAGAGTTTGAATATCGTAATAAGGCCAATAGTTGCACCCGATGTACTCAATTGGAAACAGAAGCCACTAGAAGTCCAGAAGAGTTGTTATTGCTTGTTAGATTAGGGCAGATGCTTCTTTCTGAATCAACAACAAAGAATGACAACATAGAATCTGGAATTCCTCTCATAAAACAGAAAGCTGATGATGATTCATGGAGCCATATTATAGAGGCTCTTCTAGTTGGCAGTGGAACATCCACGGGTACTATTGATTGGATTCTTGAAGAGCTTCTAAAGGATAAGCTGCAACAGTGGCTTTCTTGCAGATCTCAGGAAAGAGATGAAGAGACAGGTTGTTCTTTGTCCAAGAAGGAGCAGGGGATTATTCACATGGTTGCTGGGTTGGGCTATGAGTGGGCCTTGAATCCTATTCTGAGTTGTGGAGTGAATATAAATTTCCGTGACATCAATGGATGGACTGCTCTTCATTGGGCTGCACGTTTTGGAAGGTAATAAATAGAGAAATCTAGAGGGCTTGCTACTACTATGTTAACTGACTTATTTAGTTTCAGTAAAAGATGTTAATGTTGCTATACAAGGCTTATAGGTAATGAAGATAGGGAAAGCAAGCATACTTCATGGTTTTCAACAAACAATATGTGCTTGGTAAAATATGTATAAATATTTTTTTTCATTGGGAGAAGGGAATGCAGATGCAAGGAAAGATAATTAGGAGAATAAATTATCTGATCTCTTATTGTAGGCATAAAGCACTAAAATGAAAGGCAAGAGATATGATAAGTGTTTCAGATATTCAATTCTGAAAATTAAATTTTCGGATATGCAAGTTGTGGGACAGATATAAGAAAAACTGAAAAGGATGTATTCGATTAAAATGATAGCAATGTACACTGGGATTTCAAATCCTGAAATTAACAAAATCCCTGTAGGCCAAGTTAGTTGGCTTTCTGCAATGCCTAGCCGGGAAGTCAAATGAAGAAATTGAAGATAACAAACACTAAGGGTATAATAACCACATGTAGCATGATTGCTTCTCATCAGATATTATTTGGCATGGTTCATTCATTGTTCTAATCAATCAAAGCAAATGCCGACTTTTATTTCTAATTAAAAAAAATAATCGGTTCATCAAGTCTTCTACCAGAACTGATGATTATATCATGAAAATGAAAGTCTTGTTTCTTATAAAACCATATTCCATCAAGTATTTTGGATGTTATTTTCCTGAAGTTTTTGTTACTCCATATAGGGAAAAAACGGTTGCTTCACTTATAGCTTCTGGAGCATCTGCTGGAGCTGTGACAGACCCAAGTGCACAAGATCCAATCGGTAGAACCGCTGCATCTATTGCAGCCAGCAGTGGGCACAAGGGACTGGCAGGGTATCTTTCAGAGGTAGCTGTAACAAGTCATCTGTCATCGCTTACTCTGCAAGAGACTGAGCTATCTAAGAGTTCTGCTGAGCTTCATGCAGACATGACTGTTAACAGTGTCTCCAAGGATAATCTTGCTGCCAGTGATCAGACGTCTCTCAAAGATACATTGGCTGCTATCAGAAATGTAACTCAGGCAGCTGCGCGGATACAATCAGCTTTTCGCTCACATTCGTTTAGAAAACGGAGAGCAAGAGAAGCAGCTGCAAGTACCGGTGGCATTGGTAGCATTTCGGAGATTTCTGCTATGTCAAAACTTGCCTTTCGGAACTCTCGCGAAGATAATTCAGCTGCTTTATCAATTCAGAAGAAATATCGAGGTTGGAAAGGTCGTAAAGATTTCTTAGCGTTGCGCCAAAAAGTAGTGAAGATACAGGTAATAGATGTTAACTTTTATTATTTGACTTGAACAAGATGAATTCCAAGAGCTACATGGATATATATTATTCTTAATTGAATAAAACCAAAAAATTATTAGTAAGCATGCACATGCACGTGCACGTGCATGCTTTGATCTTTAACACCATTGATATCAACGTCAGTTATTATTCGCAATTTATTTGGGCAGGCTCATGTGAGGGGCTACCAGGTTAGGAAGCATTACAAGGTATTATGGGCGGTCGGAATCTTGGATAAGGTGGTGCTACGATGGAGGAGAAAAGGAGCTGGTTTACGAGGTTTCCGACAAGAGATGGACAGTAATGAAAATGAAGATGAAGATGAAGATATTCTCAAGGTGTTCCGAAAACAGAAAGTGGATGTAGAAATTGAAGAAGCTGTTTCCCGAGTTCTGTCCATGGTCGACTCACCGGATGCTCGGGAGCAATATCATCGCATGCTTGAGAAATATCGTCAGGCTAAGGTAAACTAGTCTTAAAACTAATTGTTTCAAATTCAGACAGATATTTGACTCGATCCACTTACTAAGTTGACACGTCAGTGATTGAACGAGTAAATCATCGGTTGTACCGAATGAATTAATATATAATTTAAAATTAAATATATAGTATGAAACCTATTTTAGTCATTCACATACTCATTACTTGTGTTAGTTTAGTGGTTATCAAAGTCTCTAGAAATACCCTCAGGCTAAGGTATAAATTAGCCTTGAAAGCGAAAAAGGACTTTTATTCTATTTTTTTTATCAGAACAGTCAATAATTCAATATCTCTTTAGCATCTGTTAGTTTGCCACTAGTTGAATAATTTAATATTGTTTTGCACGGGCCTTCCGTACTCATTTTGGAATAAGAGAAAATAGTAAACGGAGCTATCAAGCATTTTGACTTTAGAGTGCACCTGCTATGTGATGTCAATTCATAACTTATCAATACCTTTGCAGGCTGAACTTGCGGGCACGAGTGATGAAGCATCATTATCAACTTCTGTAGGAGATGCCTTGTTTATGGAAGATGATTTTTATCCATTTCACTAGGAGCAACGCTAGCCTTGCTAATCTTAATTCTTTTGTATGATCAATTTCTGGAATAACCATGTCGGTGGTCTTTGTATCTAGATGCTTAGAACAAGCTGACTTGTTAGAGACAGTCTAGATTGTATAGTGTTAATGGCGATGAATGTTGTTAGTGTGTAAAATATAAAATATAAAATGGGAAATGGCTTTGAATGTAGGTACGGTTGGGTTTCAACTTGAATGGCTTAAATTTTTCATTTCCTTGCGTGCACTCTTATATCCTCGCAATTTAGATGTAGCTTGTGGCAGTTACCTGTTGCAAATGAACAAAGTACGTTACGATGTAGGTCATTTAGCATCATTGGATGAAATGTTGGAATAATATTCGTCATAGTTGGCTTCAGAGTTGTTTGAGGTCCGTATAGTAAATTGCTTATCGCTTATTGTTACTAAAGGGTCATAGTAACGAACGCATAAGCAATGTTCTCGGTCTCGGCATGGACCAAGTAAAGGGTCCCAACGACTAGAAAGTAGAATACAGATTTTCTTTCTCGCTTCTCCTTCCCTGTTTATCCCAAATTTGGCAAGTTTGCAAGGTAACTACAGCAGAAATAGATTTGACCAAATCACGTCTTTGGCACCACCGTCAAATGCAAATTAAATTAACATAGCAGGAGAAAAGAATGAATCTCTTTTTATTATTATTATTATTATAACACTACCCTTTAGCATCTGTTTTGGTCCTCTGTTTGCAATGACTAGAATTAAGTCCAGAAAATGACTACTACGATTCCTCTGTTAGCAGTCAAGTTTCAAACCTGGTCCTCAAAATCAACATATTTATAAATCAATAGAAAGAATGCCAAGAAAGACAGCATGTTAGAGAAAAAGAAACTGGCTGCAGCTCAGAAAAGCCAACCCACTGCACTGCAACCCTAGCCTGCTTACGTGAAGCAAGCAAATAAAAGGAAAACATTATGACAAGCATTTACTAAATGGTAGGGGTAAACTGGATCAACATGGTTCCAATATCTTAGATCACAAATAAATTCAAAGTTTTTAATCTCCAAAACGCAGTAATCTTCCAACAATTTATCCTTGAAGGTGTTTTTTACCCGGCAAAACAGAAAATTCTAAACACAACAGGCACAAGCGTTTAACACAATCAACCAAAAAGAACCCATTTTCAACATCAAATGTCCAATCTGAAACAGCTAGCTATAGGCAAACTTCTTCTG